CGCAAGCGTGGTATATCAAACGTCCTTTTCAGTCTCCTGACTATTTCGTCTACCGCTGCATGTCCGTATTCCAGGGACTCGTGCAGGGATTTGATGAGTTCTGTTCTCATATGAGGAGGCACGTACGTTCGTGTTCCTTCTCTCAAAGCCGTGAGTTCTCTCCCATCGTTTGTTACTTCTGGCGGATATTCTGGTTCCTGTCGCCATTGGGTGGCCTTCTCTTGCCACTGTTGCTGAAGGGTTGTGACTTGGTGAGCTACTACGCTGACCTTGACTAGGTCGGGCTTGTTATACCTCAAGCTTCCGTCAGGCATCTGCTTGAGTACTGCGTCATATGGCTCCGTATGTCCTTCTTCTCGTAGGTCGGATCTTCGGCTTAGAGCATCAGCGGCTCCGTTGAGCGATCCGGCTCTATGGGTTATCTTAAAGTCGAATTGGGCGAGCATTTTGGCCCATCGAACTTATCGTCGGTTGAGTTTCTTGGTCGTCATGAAACTCGTTAAGTTCTGGTGATTGGAGAACACTTCGATCATGTCTGGGAGTCCTAACAAATATACTTCCCATTGTTCAAAGGCGTCGACTACTCCGAGTAGTTCCTTATCGTGAACATCGTAGTTTATTTCTGCTCCAGAGAACTTTCGTGAATGGTAGAACACTGGTCTCCACTTTTCATCTGGGCACTGCTGTGACAGTACAGCTCCTAGTGCATAGTCGGACGCGTCGGTCTCGACTTGGGTTTTTCGTTTTAGGTCATACATCTCTAGTATGGGTGCCTCGAGGAACATTCGTTTTAATTTGTAAAACGCATCCTGATGCCACTTTTTCCAAACGAACCTGGCTGACTTCTTGGTGATCTCTATGAGAGGTGTTGTAATCTGGGAGTAATTCCTGATGAACTTTCGGTAAAAGTTCGCGAATCCTAGGAAGGATTGCACGTTCTTGACTGTTTTGGGTTTTGGCCATTCCTGTACAGTCTGGACTTTCTTTGGATTTATCTTAACACCTTCTGTTGAGATAATAAAGCCCAGGAATTCTGTTTCTTGTGTGTGGAATTCACACTTCTTGACCTAAAGGTACAGCTTGTATTCTTTAAGCTTTCGTAGGACCTTCTTGACATGTTCAACGTGTTCTTCAAGCGTTCCTCTAGAGTACACCAGTACATCATCTAGATATGCTGTCGCGAAGATTCCGAGGTATTCGTGGAGAGCGCTGTTAATGACTGACTAAAAGGTTGCCGGCGCATTCGTCAATCCAAACGGCATTACCGTGTACTCGTACAGTCCATATTTTGTTTTAAACGCCGTTTTCTATTCATCTCCTTCCTTGATCCTGATCCGGTAAAATCCTTCCCGGACGTCGAACTTCGTAAACCACTTAGCCCCCTGGAGTCGATCCATGAGCTCTGTTATCAGTGGTAAGGGATATCGGTTCTTCCGAGTAACTGAGTTTAGCCTTCTGTAGTCGACGCATAGTCGCCACTTCCCATTGGCTTTCTTTACAAACAGTATTGGCGAGGCCATCGGGCCATGCCCTGGTCGGATAAATCCCTTTTTCAAATTCTTTCGGAGGTATTCTTTTAGCTTAGCATCGTGCTTAGGCGCTATTAGATACATCCCTCCTGGCGTCAACTTTGCTCCTTCTTCCAAGACGATCTCGTGATCCTAGTCTTGGTGTTTAGCTAGGTCTGTTGCCTCGTTTTCCTCGAACAGTTCTCTGAACTCGTTCGTCTGATACTCTTTTGGTATCTTTAGTGGTAAGGGTTCGTCCTTCTTGGTCGCAACCTGTCTTATCCATATAACTCCTACTTGCTAAGGGTCCTTCGCATAGATTCTCGCGATCTTATGCGGTGAGATCTTACCGAATCTCCCGTTCTTGGGTGAGCTCTGATTCGTTGGGCGTGTCTCTTGTCGTACTCTAGCAACCTTGCGCGCTGGTTCTCGGCTGAGTATAGTTTTCTTTTGCCAGTTGATGGCAGGGTTATGATCTTGTAACTAATCATACCTAATCAATATTTCTTCCTCTTCGAGGTCTATGATATTGATTCTTATTGTGCTTATAGTGCCCGCTAATTCCAGCGTTACTAGTTCAGTTTCTAACCGTATCATGCCGTTGCCGTAATCCATAGGCTTATCGTCGGCGAGTACCACGGGTATTGGCGTCTTCTTGACCCAATGTGGTATCTTGTATTTCTCTATCGTCCTAGATGAGATCATGGTGTGCATCGCGCCGCTGTCGATGGTCGCGATCATTCGTTTTCCGTGTACAACCACTGTTGCTTGTAGCTTCAATCGTGGGCTCTTGGTGTGTTGTACTTGTTTAAGGGCCGTTATAGGACTGCCTTTGCCAGCGTGACCCTGTCCCTAGCGGCATCCTAGTTTTTTAGCCTAGAGAGTCGTCCTTTCTGCGACTTCTTCCTTTCCTGGGGAAAATATCCCGCGCTGTACTTGGCGTTATAGTGAACATTACATCAGTCTTCGTAACAGAATCTCTAATAAATGTTCTGGTGAGGTATCTCCTTTGGAGTGTCGTTCGCTACCTCTTTTGGTTGTGGCCTAATTCTTTGAGTCTCTTCTTGGCCTAGCCTAGTGTGCATTCGACAATCCTTTGCCTTACATTCCTCGGGCATAAGGGTGCTGTGGTAGAAGTCGTCTACCTTCTCCGCATCCTTTCGTTGTTCGTGGTGGAACGCACAGTCGTTTGTGCAGTTAATCCAGCACAGCTTTTGGTGAGCTTCTTTTTCCTTCTCTAGCTCGTGGGTATAGCATCCTTTAACGAAGCATTCGTGGTGTTCTAGTTGTGCATGGCAGCATTCGTCTCCACCGTATCCTGATGCGTGCCTTGCGCGTTCATGATGACTACATCTCTTGTGTTTGCAGTCGACCCAATGCAGGTCCTTGTGTTTCGTGCGTTAACCTTTCTAGGGTGCTTCCTAGTCTAAGGCCTCAGCTGGCTCTATAAAGTATGGTTGCTCTCTTTGTGCTTGTTGTATGATCTCGGTGGCGTTTGGTCCCGTGACGACTATTCTTCCTATTTTGGAGATACAGTCGTTGGCTTGGTGTGTGTTGTCTCTACATGTCTAACACTGTCCTTGGGCCAATCGTTGTAGAGCGTCCGTGCCGCTAACGGTCCAGTCCTCCGCCTGGGGTATGTCCTATTTGATGCTTGGCTGGGCCAGTTTAGGGATGACTACGTATTCTGGGCTAGTGGCTCTTTGCGCCTCGTCATATAGGTCTACATCGCTAAGATTGTCTTCTGACGTGAGATCGTGTCTGGGGTATGGCGTGGATAGTCTGATCATCTTGACCTTGACTACTGCTTGCTTGCTGGTTTCGTTCTTTGGGCAGTCTCTGCGGAAGTGTCCTACTTCGCCGCATCAGAGACATGCCTTGTTGTCGAAGCGTTTTTGTCGTTCGTCCTTGGAGACACCATCTTGGTTCTTCTATGGGTTCTTCTTGTTTTTGTTCTTGTCTTGGACTTTACCAGTCATAACAGTGTCACTGTCCCTGTCTGTTCGGTTTCGTTGTTTCTTCATGTTGGCCACCGTGGGTTGGAATCGTCCCTTTTGCTGGGCTCGTTCCCACAGTCGGTTGTCGATTCGGGTAGCTAGCTCTACTAGCTTATGAAGTGTATTAGGTTTGTCGTGGTGCACAAGACCGTCTTTGACATTGTCCTTGAGTCCGGCTTCGAATACCGTTCGAAGTGCTGCGTCGTCCTAGTCGATTCTAGCTTGGAGCTGTTTGAACTCGGCTGTGTACGCTGATACGGACTTGGTTTGCCTCAAGCGAGTAATTGCTTTCTCTGCTTAGTTCTTTGCGTCTACTTCCCCAAAGATGCGTCCTATTTCTTCCTTAAAACTTTCCCAATCCTTAAACAAGGCCTTAGTTTCTTCCCTAGTTCTGTAGGTGGTGGGTGAGGTCAGGAAATCCTCAACGTATGGCTGCATCCACATGGCTGCTTTGCCCTTTATGTGTGTGTTGGCTATTAGGATCTTTTTCTAGTCGTTGGGTACTTAGTTGAATCCACAGTACAAGTCGATGTTAGTGAGGAACGTCCTTAGTTCGTTTCGTCCTCCTTCGTATTTCTCGGGTACTGCCATTTTGGGTTTTGGGGGTGGTTTTTCGTTAGGCGTAGCCATAAGCTAGCTTACCATCTAGGCCATCATTTCCTGCATAGCCGCCATTTGCTTGGCTTGGTCGCTATGCTGCTTTTCCTGCATGCGTAGCCTTCGCTTAAGATCTCGTACCTCGGCCTGGCTCGCATTGTTCCTCTCTTCGTCTGAGGAGTCGGAGTCCGAACCACTTCCTTCGAGCATCTCGTCGTCGAGAGCTAGTGAGGGCGTAGGGGCCGCTACCGTAGGCTCCTGTCCCTGGGTAAACTGGTTTCCGTTGTGGGCCATTATGGTAATCTTATTCGAGCGACTATGGGTTAAACTCCTCCACTGAATTCGGTGGTGGTCAAAGTGTTACACGGGGTTCGACTATACTTAGCTAGGACTCGATCCGGGTTAGGGCGAGTCAGCGGGTTCGTGGTAAGCTGTGTGATTGCCGAGTAATTCAAGTGGAAAAGAGTTATGGAGGTTTAACCGATAGTAAAGACAATCAATTCTATAGTAAGATAGAATAACAAAGTACCAATCTTGTTAAGTAAAGAACTTGTAAGAGAGTACAGTATAATAAGTTGACCACAACGAGTGTAATAATGAAATCCAACACATTCTTATACCCATTGCTTTCCAGTCCTGCCATCCTGTCCATCCCATCTTTCTGCCTCTTGGCGGGATGTCTGGGATGGCATACCATCCCAACGACCACTGCCACTCCCAGTCTTGGCGGATGTCTCGTCTTGGCGG